CTTATTCATGGACCACTACTTTATTCCCTGCCCCATCCCTGGCTGCAGTCACAGCCCACGTTACCTGCTGGGGTAGCACACACAATTTTGACTGACATTTCTTCCTTTGTCTGATTTTTTATTTGACAATATGCTATACCTTTGCAATATAATTAACTATTTTGGCTTCTTGATGAAATTAAAAAAGACCAGGAAGCATGGATACCTTAATATTTCTAAGAAGAAAAGCAGTCAGTTACTGATACCTTCACCAATGTTCATGCAGCTCTTGCCAGCTAAAATTCTAAGCAATTAAATCTGTATGAAAATGGAATGGAAAAAAAGCTGAGTGTGAACTGACTGATTTTGCTCACTACAGGACAACTTAGTTTTGTAAACAGAGGCATAAGAGAAGTTGTGATACCAAGAGAGACTTTCTGAGGTAAAAGTACTTTTTTTTCCACTGAACTTTTTCCATAATCTCTTGATAAAAATGACCTCATTTAAGAAAAATGAGATCAAATAATTTATTTGATTCCTGAAGAAGCCCTCAGTGCACACACAGATAAATTTGGAATGAACTCTGTTGCAGAAAGAGATTTTGGGAGAGCCATCGATCTATGGAAAGAGGGAAGTGAAGATATTCACTGCTGGATAAAAATAAGCTACTTGAGCAAGCCATGGCACAGTCTGTTGTGGTTTTCTTTCACGTGATACCTTGAAGAGGAATTAAGATGACTTGGAAAAGGCAAGGTAGGGCAAAGCCCCTCAGAATGATTCATATAATTTCAAGGCGACCTTTTTACTTGTGTGCAAATCTTCTGTCGTTTGACGTGAGCCAAGAGGAGGACAGGGACAGTCTGTCTTGTGCCATTCTCCTGCACGTAGAGCCCATGAATCAAAAAAATGGGCTTTGTTCTGACTTCAGCCACACTGAAGTATATTAGCCTAGGCTAGGTCAAATGTTTTTAACCCAGATTGCCTACAATATATATGTACAGAATATTCTTAACCACCTGCCTTCCCCTGGCTCTTCCAGAGAAGAGAAAATATGTAGTTTAGACATTTGAGGGAAAGTTCCCTTAAAGCCATGAAGAGCCACACCAAATCATCATCAAACATGCCTGTCACAGATGGAGAGGGGAGTTTCTGGTGTGGACTTCATGAAGGGGAAAGGTAAAGCTCTCACCATTGATGGAAACAAGAAGTAAAAGGGAATTGGGAGGTGAGAAGATAAAAGTAGAGCCCACAGAGGCTCCATACCTGGGAGCCAACCCAGGCAGACACTGATTGGAGAGGCATGAGGACTCCTGGTATTCTACCAGGGCTCTGCAGCCTTATTTCAGAGCTCCAGTTTCTTTCTGATTTCAGCCAAGAGAGAGGGGCTCTAGCTCTTTGAAAATAATATTCAAGCATTTAGTCCAGTGGGTTGTTCATCCACATGCCTTGGGTTTGTGTGCATCACACGAGTGTTCTCACACATCAAGTGCACAGGAGGCAGGGAAGAAAAGAGGGATGGACGCAAAGTGGATCCAATTAAACTTTTCTCTTTCTCTCTCTTTTCTTTCTTTTCTCTCCAAAAAGGCTTTTCTCTCTATACAGGTGGTAAAAAGTGCCTAGAGAAGTGGCTTACACTTGATACTCACTTTTTCGGTGGTTAAAACTACATGTGAGCTGTACCCTTGTGAAAGACAAACCAGAGACTGTGTGACTCCCAAATCAGCACAGAATGTGTTTATTTCCCTTAATAGCAACAAGATCTAAGCCCACAAATAGATCCCACAAACCTGGAAGCTCATAACTGTTCACAGTGAACTATTTGCTTTAGAAGAAAAAGGTTTGAACATCCAAGGGCTTGGCCTGGCTGGAACAGCCTCTTGCTCTGCTGCACTGTCAGCTCTGAGACAGCCATCCCCCAGGGCTTTCAGTCTGGCTTTCATTAGGAGACCTGCAATGACACTGCTTAAAAACCAGAAGGAAAATCCAAGATGGCAGCTGGGGTGGCTTTGTTGAGTACTGGACCAACAATTAAGCATTTTCCTGCTGTTTTCAATATCCCATTCCTCTCTCAGATGGGGATCTGCTTCTACTCTTGGCTACACCCATTCTTGGCCCACTGGAGAAATGAGAACAAGGTCTGGTGTTCTACGACTGATCTGTGCATCCTTTATTTACCCCAGTGAAAACACTATTAGCCCCAGCATTTCAAATATCAAAAGATACTGAGACTGGTTTAATTTTTTTTTCCCCAGTTAAAATAAATAAATAAGTAGGCTTCCATATATTTGCTTATTGGTTTTGAAATGTACACAATGACTATTTTGAAGTCCCTCTCTGTAGCAAAAATGCCCTACAATCTCAATTACTGAAATAAATGAAGGCTGGTATTTCTGGGTAGATGAAGGAGCTGGGGCCTCTCTGAAAGGGCACTGAACCCCACAGTTGTTGTCTTGTTGTCAGCATCACTTCTCTGTGCTCCTGGGTATCACATGGAGCCGGTGTAATTCCCCCTGCTGCTCTGCACAGCGATGCAAAAGCCATCCTGCAGCCTAGGGACAAGGAGAGGGGACACCCTGTGAACACAACCCTGCACTCAGGGCCAGGAATGGGGCATTTCCCCTTTCAGTTACAGCCTGCAATATCAGCAGCTTAGGCACCAACCAGTGCTCCCTCCTCTGTCCTCTCTCCATCTGAAGAAAAGACAAAACTCTTCACCATTTCTCCTTCTCCTTCTTCTTTTCTCCCCCACAAAGAAGAACTTGCCAGGTCTGCATCTTTTTCCCTGAACTGTTTCCTCTTTCTGATGTTAAAAGCATCTGCAGGACAGCTCAGTTCCTGAGATGCCAGCTCTGTTTCAGCAGTGGTGTCCCTGTGGCTGCTCCCAGGGCACTACAGGGCGCTGTGTGTGCAAACTGTGAGGAGAGGACAGCTCTTCCCTGGCCAGGTGAAACCAGGGGCTGCTTTGCCCATCTGCAGGGCACAGCCCAGCACGATCTCACCCACAGGAAAAGCAAATCTTCCTCTGGGTCTTGGCTATCTGTTACAGGGTTTATTGGTCCCTTGCTGACCTGCTTGCTTGGCTCTCAGAGGGGACCTGGGGCAAGTCCTTTTGGCTCAGAGCACGAGCAAAGCATGCTCAGGTTTGTACCAGCACCTCCCACGGTGTTCAGCCAATTCCTGTGTCCCACAGCTCAGTTGGATGCACAAACCAGGGCTGGGGCTGTGTCGGAACCCCAGCCTGGTTCAGGGGTTCCGTGTGGTGGAAAAGTCTCTCCTCCAGCCCGTGCTTCCAAAGAAAACTCTGCAGCCTCTTGTTGTCCGGTCTCAAGGCAGGTTATTGCAAGTTATCTAAAAGATTTTCTTCTGGGGCTGCTGTGGTTTGCTCACAGCTCAGGCAGAGACACACACACACCCTGACATCCTCTCTGACTCCCGACTGCTTCTTCTCTCCCAGCCCAGGGCTGTGCTGTCTTTTATATGGTACATTACGTGTTATATGTTTACAGTTTGTCCCCAATGCCTATTACCTATATTAAATGGTGCTTTTCTATCTTTTATATGGTACATTACGTGTTATATGTTTACAGTTTGTCCCCAATGCCCATTACCTATATTAAATGGTGCTTTTCTACTCTAAACCAATCTGTGAGTGCCAACATCACCAAGAACATGGAGGCAAGGAAGAAGAAAGAGGAGGAACAGGACCGGCCCAAATCCCTCCATCTTAAAACTTCTGACCCCCATGTACAAAACCAAAACCCCCTGTACAGGACTCAAAAATTCTTCCCTCTATTTTGTAACTACTTCTACTATAATATCTAAACTTTTATGACTTCTTGTTCTTCCTGCAAGGTTGGTAAATCGTTCCATGGCTCAAACCCAAAATCACAGCTGTTTCCAGCTGCCTGCCAGGGTCTCAAATGCTTCTGACCTGGGCCCGGAACATCCAAAAATGTCTGAGGCACATTTTGAGTTCCAACAAAAGAAGAGTGAAAACAGTAGCAGGAGGATTCCCTCAACACAACTGAACTCTCCTCAGCCCTTTTACACAGAGTGATTCAGCTGTAGGTGAAGCATTAAAGCTGTATTGGAAATAGCTTTTGTTTCCCAAATAGATGTTTGAAGTTTTGACTGGATTTTTTTTTCCTCATCTAAATCAGGATGAAAGAGAAAAAATTGAAATTTCTTTGCAGATCTGTGATTTAAATATAAGGGGAAAGGCTGGGCCAGTGGAATGAGTCCTTTTTTATGTTGACCCTTTTTTTAAAATGACTATACATTATGTGAATTTCAAACACAAGACTTGTTTCAAACATAAAATGGAAATTTTGCTTTTTGAAAATATAGAAACCACACCTATTGTTTTCTTCTAAATATCTTTTAAAGACAGGAATCAGAAGCCAGCCCTTTCCCACAAAAAGGTCTGGTTTTCAATGAATTTGCATTTTTGACTGAAAGCCTTGTTTCAAAGTCTTGAAATTAGATAATGAAGCAGCATTTATATCTAATTGGCCTCGAGGAAGAAGGAAGCTCTGTGGGTGGGATCCATCTCACCTACTTACAGGTGTTTAGTCTAAGTTATACGTCAGTAATCAGGGGCACCCCCAAAAGACTTTTCTCTCTATACTGGTGGTAAAAAGTGCCCAGAGAGGTGGCTTACACTTGATACCCACTTTTTCAGTGGTTAAATCTCCATGGGAGAAATCCTATCCTTGCTGTTCACACTCTGGCTGAGGACGGAAGCTCAGCATCACAGCTCTGATGTTTTCAAGCTGGAGCATGTTGGGAGAAGAAAAAGGTGCCAGGTTCTTCATCAGTTCTTCAAAAAGGAGCCAGATATTTTTAGGTGACAGAAAATAGAACAGTTTTGTGGAGAATGAATCAGCTGAAGGAACACTGGTTATTTCCATGGTCAGGTAAAACTCAAAAAATCTATTTTTTTTTCCTAAATGTTCCTTGGTATAATTTTTTTGCAATTCCTTTGTAATTTATTTCTGATTGTAGATGGATTTTTTTTTTCAGAGCGATGTTTATTTTTCTGCCCCGCTGAGTTCCTTCCCTTTTTTTTTCCCCAGCAAATGTCTTTGAATCAATTTGTAATGCTGCATCCAAGACATGGAATATTACCTGCAAAACTCCCATGTGTGACTGAAGCGACCTAGTATGGAAATCAAAAGTGTGTACAACAGTGCATGCATTTTGCTTTATTTAATAGTTTCTAAAAGGAATAGGCTTTTTTTTTATTGTGGTTATGCTTGTCCCTTTTTGCAGGGGTGTTTGGCTCCTGTAATGTTTGTGCTCACAGACTGGTTTGTAAGGGGCAGAGCTGCAAAGCCGTTTGGCCTTTAATTTGAGATGCAAGGCCAATTTATGAACAGAATTCTTCTGATTTCATTTTCAGACACCTGTGCTGGATGAAGCTTGGCCTGTGACTGGAACGTTTAGGAAAGCACATGTAGGAAGTGAGCACAGCAGACTGTAAGGAGCAGACATTTATAGGACAACCTTTCATAATCACCAGGCATATTCATAATAATAAACAACTCATTGACCAAACCCTGATGACTTTGATGGTCAACTTCTTTGAAATTTATAGTGATAAATATGCAGAGACAAAGAGCAGGGTTATAGGACAGCTCAGTGAGAGCCTTAGCATACACTCAACCAAAGAATCATAGAAACATGGGTAGTTTATGTTGGAAGAAACCTTAAAGATTATCCAGTTCCAACCCCTGCTTAGGGGTGTTTGATGCAAAGCAACTTGGGGTTTCCTTTTGTACATGTGGAGTTTTGCAGGGGATATATTTAGTAAAGAGTTCTCAGAGGAGAAAAAAAAAAAAAAAGGAAAGCAAATTTGTAAGCTACAGAAGCTGGAGAAGTTTCTGGTTTTGTTTTTGTTTGTTTCAAAGAAAAGAAACAGAAAGGGAAAGGATATTCCTCTATGTGTTACAAAACAGCACAAGTGTCTATGTGTAACAATACAACACAAGGCTCTCTTCCATTCTCACATTTGCTCTGTGCCCAGGGCACAGCATTTAACATTGCAATCCCACCTGACTGTGGGGAAGGCTTTCAAAAGCATCCTGATCCACTGCAGAAATCTTTCCTCTTCTACATCCTAGTGTGCAAAATTCCTTACAGTGATTGATGCCTGCAGTTCCCTTCCAGCCATAGCATGGTTGGTCAGCCCCTCTCACACACTGAGCTGATGTGGCACAAAAGAGATGGAAAATGAAATTTCAGCTCCGAGGTGTCAGGGCTCAGCAGCTCTTTCTGGAGACCTGCCCTGCTGAACCTGGTCTCTGCTGAAGGGTGACCATTGCCAGGGGTTTGTAGAGTTTGAAAAAACAGACTGGTTTTGTCTGCTGGGAGTTCCCTAAAAGTACAGCTTTTTATTTAGAACTGACCACGAGCTTGGAGAGAAAGGCCTAAAGAACGGTGTGAGCCTCAGAATTAAGCTGAAGGACTACCTTTATTAATATATATTTTTTTTACAGATTATTTTTAAATGTATAGCCCTGCAGCAGGCAAGCAAATATATTATTTCTTTGGAAATAAAAGGACCAGGCCTAAGGGTCCATTCTATTTTCAGGGCAAACACCTAAGTCCCATTCATGTTAATGGGGAAGCTTCTCCTGCTTCCAGGAAAGAACAGACCCATTAGAGATCTAGGATATTATTTTAGACCCCCAATCCCCTACAGCAGTGGGAGCTGGTGCATAAGTAGGGTGAGTGTCAGAGCTGTTCCCTGCTGGTTTGTTCCTCATAATTCTGTCCCAGAGCACAAATCTTGCTGCGGTACAAAACCATGGTGGGTTTTGACATTGCATTGTATCAACCTGCTTTGGTTTTTTTTCCTTAATGACGTTTCAATGAGACAAAAACTGAAAGGTCAAACCTGCTGAAGCCAGGATTGCCTCCTAGAGGAGAGCCCATTGGAGATAAGGCAAAGTTACACGAGTTTGGGACCTGGCATGACCTAGTTCCAGGCAGAGTTATGAGAACCCATGTCAGGACAGTTTGTTTTTCAGCCTGGTTTCTCATGGGAACGAGGCTTATGCAATCGTGCTGTCTGTGTGTCTGTGTCTACATCCTCCTCCCCTCCCCAATAACTTTTGGACTCATTGCTCAATTTCTACAGGGGGGTAGAGGTTCCAGGAGTGCTTCTGGTCCTACAGGCATTTTAAAATCAGTAGAGGAGAGCGAGGCTACAGGTGCTCCCTGCAGCAGAGTTTGTGTGGCTCAGCCAGGGGAGCAGCGCAGAGCTGAGGCAATGGCACACCCAGGGTGCTGCTGGTGGATCCACACAGCACGTTCTGCTGCTCCTTTTTGACACTGACACACTCACTGGTGAGCCTCTCAAACCTCATCTCCCACTTTGTTATGTTTTCTGTAAAACAAGGTGAATTTGAGAGGTTCTGTTAGCTAACAGCCCTTTAAAACATGCCAAGGGATGGCAGGGAATCATCCCTGCTGCAGGCTGAGGTGGTTAAAGCAAGGTTAGAGGGGGATGAGGAGTTCCTCTGGACTCAGGAGCATCTGACCTGAGCAAAAGTGCCCTCTGCCAGGGCTGCAGGGGATGTGATGCCGCTGAGGTTTGTCATTGTAACACTCACACACCCAGGGCTCAAGAATCAGCTCAAGTCAGGGTCTCGCTCAGACCTAGAGCAGCTCCTTTAAACCTCCCTGCCTTCCAAAAGATTCCTTGCCAGTGCTGCCACGTGAACTCAGTTAATTACAGGGGTGGAAATTACAGCCCCACAGACTTCACAGAGAATGCTCAGCACAGGTACAGCACTTAATGATAGGCAATTAAAACGCTCTATATCTAATTCCTAAGAAGTGGTGGGTTTGGAGAGGGACCACTTCCAGTGAGCAGGTGATAATGAACTCCCCAGATCACAGAGGCATCATTTCAAAACGATAGTGTGAATTTATTAAACATGCTATGGAAGACAAATATATTAATATACAGGGAAAAACAATAGATCAGGAAAATTCCTTGGGTTTCTGCTAGCATATTACATGCATGACAGCTTCTTTTGGCTCATAAATAACAATGGAGGAACACACATGAATATTTTTAATGACTTGTAGGGGATTTTAGGGATCTTCTCCTCATAAATTCTCATTTTTTTGTGTTGTATGAAACACACCGTTTCCTTTTATTTCATTTAAGTTTCCTGAGAGAGCTTGAGAAACTGTTATTTTAAACATTGCAGTGTTAGATAAAAAAGGTATAATTAATTAATGAGTTCTTTGGAGTTAGTGCAGGAGGAAAAGGACCCTCCCAGGACATAATCCAAAAATTGTGATACCTCTTGAAATGAGTTCAGGACAATCTCAGACTGCTAATTTTTTCTAGAGCAGATATTGGAGACTGAAGAGTTTGTCAGAAAAATCTGTTTGTGACCCTCAGGCTTATTTGTTGTACCTGTCTTTGTCCCCCTAACTCTAGAATTAGAGCTGAAGATCCAGGCTACATCTGCTTTGGCCCGAGAAGAGCCTCAGTCAAAGCTGGATCACCATTAGGTGCTTTTCCTCTTTACATAAAACTCTTTATTACAAAAACATTCCCCACTCTCCTGAGTGGTGATTGGCTCTGCCAGGGGCTCTTTTCTCTTCCTGAGTTGTGTAGACTTGGTACATTTCTCTCTGGATTGTTTTCCCTCCTTCCCAACCAGTGCATCTCCTTTGAAGTCAAAGGAGCTACTGTGATTTTTTGCCCCATTGAGATGCTCACTATGGAAGAAGGATATAAAAGACTACTGCTCACAGGGTGGGAGCTGCTGGTTTCCAGTTTCTCATTAATTTTTCACTTGTCTTTCATTTCAGTGGGTCAACACTATGCTCCACCTTTGGCACAGACACAAATGCTATTTTTTTATGTGGTTCAGTGGGAGGAATGGTTTTGATCATTAAAAGCAAAGCAAAAATTATTTCAAGCAAAATTCCAGAGCCTCTCTGCATCCATTTATCTTTCCATGGCTGCCTTAAAGCATTGCCTACTTGCTCTCTGGGGAACATGTGCTCCAACTGTGTTTCACCACATTTACAGGAGCAGTCACATATGACCAAGACTAAAATTTAACCTTAATTGCCCACAGGCTGCTGCCATTGAACCCTGTTGGCATGTAGGGGTTTAAAAGTGTTGAAATTAACCCAGTAGAAACAACCAGAAAGCCAATACCATATTTAGTTTTGAACCATCCTTAAAAATATAGATATTCTAAAATCTGAGTGAAGGAGGCTCACATCCCTTGAAAGAATGTGTGATTTCCTGTAATTATCTCCTTAAAATATTCCTGATTGGGACTTGGAAGCAGTCAGAGAAGAGGGGGATCTCTGGAGGGCCCACCACTGCTCCTTGCTGAGGCAGGGCTTTGGAAAGTGAATCACTGCTGTGTACTGGGTCCCTGCCATCCACCAAGGATCAATAAAGTTTTATGCACCTTCCTGCCAGCCTCAGGTTTTTGATTCCAGGTGTTCCCATTAATCTGGGACACAATGGAAGGAAGTTTCTATGGTTGCATGGAGATGGCAGCAAATCTGGGTCGACTTTAGTCAGCAAGTGCAAGAAGTTTAATTACATCAAATAATTGCACTTCTCGAGGCCTTTATGCTGTTTGCTTAGGTTCACTGAGCACTGATGACATGAGTGCTCCAGATGCCAGAGTCTTTTTAGGGTCTCCAGTGCTCAGTAACACCTACTCAGTGCCCTACAAGGAAATCTTTGTGCCTCGCCATCCCACCCCTGGCAGAGGTCAAAACAATGAACATCCTGGTGCAGAGGTGTGAAGGGAAATCATAGCAGAACAGGACATAAGTTCGTTTTAGATTTGAATTTTACAACTGTGTGGTCTCAGGGTGTAAAATCAGCCCTTAGCTCTTAAGAGTAAATCCTTCCTAGGGACTGAAGAGTTTGCATGCTTTTGTAGATTTAGGGCATCATTTTAACCCTTGGGCTTGTGAAAATTCTTTTTAATGACACCTGCAAATGTTAGAAATTATTACAGCCCTCAGACTGCAGTAATTGGGGACCACAGTTTGTGCTGCAAGCGTTGCTCTCTGGAGCTGCCCTTCCCAACCAGAACTCCTCACTTGATGGCTCCTGAGAGCCACCTCTCTTCTCCATAATTTCCCTCTCCATAATGTGCCCTTTTTTGTTTAATCTGACATTTCTATCACCTTTAAGAAGCCTCACAGGGAAGGGACCGTGAAGTTTGGATGCAGTTGGCATATGGATGGTGCTTAGATTTTTTAATACATAGTTTTTATAAGACTGCTTTTATGGTTGCCTTGGCTCTTTGATCTCCACTTGAAAAATGTTTTTCATGGAGTTTGTTTGAAAGCACAAATAATCGCTTACCACAACTAAGGGCTAGCAAATAGTTCTAGAAAAGAAAGAAAACCAAAGAGAATCATGAGCTGATGGAGATGCCTTGGAAGATGTTTTAGAAACAGCTTGTAGCGGCACATTTCGCAGGACTGTTCATCAAGTTAATTCTCCTGCCCGCACTGGCATTCTTGGATATGCTAATAACAACAAGGAAAGTTGTAATGGATTTCTAAAATGGGAGTGTTTTAATAGATTTAAGTAAATGACTTGTATCCAATACTGTAGTGTTGTGATATGACACACTACAATGAAAGATAAAGTCACTTGCAGATATAATCTGTGCTTCGAAAATAAATATGATTCCCCTGAAGATGATATTTAACTAAATATGTCCCTGGAAAGGGAGAAGCCCTGAAAACCATAAAACATCACTACTCTGGTCTGATAGAAGCAGGAGCAGTCAGAGTGGATGGGGAGAGCTA